TTACTTTTGGTTATTTATCTTTACATATATTTTCCGTTGAAAAGTAATAAAAAGTGTTTCTTAATGAATATAAAGCCAAATTTAAATTGAAAAAAAAAAAAAACATTTATTTTTTAGAAAATAGGATATAAATTCATATGTTTTATATGTACTTAAAAATTTATTGATGAGAACAGAATACTTCACTTGTGAATATATATTTAATATGTATTGGAAAATATGCTCTAGATATCAATATTTCAATATCTCTTTTACTCTTCCCTCTCTCTGCCTTATCTATTCAATTCAATTCCAATCCATTCCAATCCACTTCATGCCTTATCTCTCTTCTCTTAAACTTACTCAATTTCGCATAGTTTTTCAAAGTTGTGGCGGTCAGTTCACAAACTACAATTACAAAAATTCCATTCCATTTCACTTGACAGTCCACTTCCACTTCATTCCATTCCACTCGCAAGCCTTTAAGCTATTTACGTGTCCAAGCTGACCAATATAATCCATTTATCGTTGTTCATTCTCTGTGCTCTTGCATCACATTTTCTTGGATAAGTTTCGACTTGTATTTCTTGCTGCTGGCCCATGCTTCTCTCTTCGCTCTTTCCTCTGCCCTCTGGGTTTATTTTTCATCTGCCTCGCCCTTCACTCGCATCGCACCTGTCACAACTTGTCATGAATTGTGGTGCTCTGCGCTTCATTTGTGTGGATATCTCTTACCCATTAGCCGAGCAACTCTTTCCCTATAAAAACCATCAGCACCCAACCCCACCCTCGCCAGCCTTTCTTTGTGCTCCTTGAGCTGGTTATACATATGTTTCTTTCATATTGCTATTATCTGTTTTCTCGTTATTCGCCTTATTGTTATTTTGTGATTCTTTGCTTGTTATTTTCGCATTAGAGATTTGTAATTGATACCTGTCCAACGGCTGACGCTCTCTATGCGTGTGTGTGTGTGGGTAAGCTGTATATACATGGTCATATAGTTATCACTGTCTTTTCTTATAATCACCCCCACCCCCATGCCACCCTCTTCTGCAAAGCGAACAATGCCTGCTCAGCTGCTGCTGCTCTGCTGTTTTGCCTGTGGGCGTGGCGTGGGCGCATTTTGTAAATAATTATTATAGCAAAAGTCGCACAAAGCAAAAAAAAAAAAAGTAATTTTCATTTTTATTTTTATTTATTTTTGTTTTTGTTTTTGTTTTATAGAGCTTGCGGGCTCTGCTAATGTCCCTCGGACTTCCCCAACTGAACTTGACAGTCAAAAGGGATTTTCATTTCTTTTCTTATGTTTGGTTTAGTTATCCGCCTCCTACACACAAACCCACACACACACACACAGAGGGAAACACTTCCGTTTCTAGTCCCCCTTCAGACACTCTTTGTTTTCAACTCTTCACATTTTTTTTTTTAAATTCTATTTTTACTTAATTACTTGTGCTTGGGCTTAGTTCAGCTTCGGCTCCCTCGCTAGGTTATTCGTGGCTCGCGCATTAGCTCGACAACAATTTTGATTTATGTGAGATGCCGTCTCTCTCTCTCTCTCTCTCTCTCTCTCTCTCTCTCTCTCTGTCTCTCTTGCTCTGCAAGCAACTCCAACTTGATCTTCATTTCGTTCGGCTGGCAGTTAGTCGACCTCAAAATGAATCTTGGCAGACAGTTAGCCCAGTTTACAGAATCAGTCGCACGAGCAAGATGCCATCTTTAAGAATTTGGCCAGCTGTGCGTATTATTTATTTTTTTTTAATGCCATTTTCTTCATCTTCGTCTTCTTCTTCTTCATCTGGCTAATTTATATGCAAAACTCAAGCTAGATAATTGGCCAAACAGCAGCAGCGACATGAAACAGCTGACCAGGCCAGATCATTTATCACTATTTAATTTCATGTGTGTGTGTGTGTGTGAGTGTGCGTCGGTGTGTATTGTGCTTGCTTCTCTGTTGAGATATGTATACCCTGTATATAGATGTATATTAAAGCGGGTATACGCTTTTTCTATAATGTATGAAATATCAAAAAGTTAAGAGAGAATAGTTGTGGGGTATTTATAGATATATATGTAGGGTATATTTATATATTTCGTTTATTACATAGTAATTTTATATTACTTATTAATAGTTTGAGTTGCAAATAAAATTGTGTTAAAAATATTTATAAGGTATCTCCTAGTCAAGTATATTTCATTTCCTTTCTTGATTTTGGCTTTGCAACATCTGCTGCAGAATTCGCTCGTCATTTTTAGCTAAAAATATATATTAGATAGGTATTTAAAAGGTATCTGCTAGTCTGGTATACTCTTATACTATACTTATGCTCTTAAATTATAAATAATATACTATATTTATTTTCTTAAATTTTTTATTGGCATTAATTTGTCGTATTTAGCCTAAGATATACTATTATTATCTTATCTATTATCGTATCTGCTATTCAAGCATAATAAATAATATTTCATGGTGCCTAATTCATTTACCTGATTTCGTAGAGAATCCGTTAGTCTGTCCAATATATTATTTATGTATTTCGCTAGCTTTTCTTTCGTTTGGTCAAACATTTTGGCTCAACTCAACAAACTAAATGCCATTATAGGGTATGTAGTCGATCGGTCACATCGCAGCTACCTCAATTATTTCTGGTATTTGCGACGATTTTTTGTGTTCGTTTGTGTTGGGGTAAACAATTTGGCATTCGCATAGCTTAAACTGTTTCGACACGCAACAAAACTGAAAGCCTCGCTTCGGTGGGTGGCTCGATTCTTTGACCACGGCGTGCGGCCAGCTGGCGTGAGTGGTGCAATGCATTCGAGTACGAGTACGAGTAGCCGCTGAATAATTGACTGACAAGTTTGGCTGAAAGTTAATGGCTTAATTATGAGACAGCAAACGGCAGACGGGCAATTGTATGCATGGCTAGAAATCGCAGCAGGTTGCAATTTGAATGAACTAGTTCACGTTGATGAACCGCGCCAAATGCAAAAGAAATGGCAAACTATGCCACAGCCGGACACCTAGCTGACGAAAGACTCGCCTTCCCCCATTAAACGCGCACGTGACATTCGAAGCACCTGACAGGGCCACTCAACTGGGTTGGCAACTCGTCTTAGCCATGGCTAAGACTCGCTGCAACTTATTTAAGCCGCAGCACGACTTGGCGCGAATCGGCATAGAAGTCGGAGAGCTGAAGTTGAAGTTGGCGACGAGGACAGGCTCGCTGCCGAATGGTCGAGAGTGTAGGCATTCTGTGGGCGTTGGGGCATGCCCGCGTACGTGATTCTTGAGCAATTGCCACAACTGTCTTCTGGCCATGCAGAAAATCGATAAGGAAACAGAAAACGGATTTGGCATGAACGACGAAAGGTTGCTCTGCATGAAATACAACATGGGAAAGTGCTTTAGGGTATTCGTATTATGAACAGGAATATATTAATAATGTCTTTAAGGATATGCTCGACTATTAGATACCCAAACCAAGCATAAAAGTGAAGAAAATTTGGCATAAACTAACAGTATACGATTATATAGATATCGATTATCATATGAATGTATATTGAAACGTATATACACCCGCTCAGCTTACATATTACAGGGTATCTTAAGGTAAAGCTGACAGGGGCAAATTTAAAATGATTGCATTACGCAAAATCTAGATAAAGAATATTCAAGTTATTTTCTATGTACAATCAAGGGGTTGACACATTACAGAGCCAAGCCCCCTACGGCGGAATGGAGCGAATCGAGCGTTAACGGCACTTCAAGAGTGCCGTGTCTGCCAGCTTTCAAGAGACAACAACAATGAACTGGCCTAAACAATAATAAGAGCCAAGTTCAAGAAACCAGAAATCATGAATAACAAAAAAAATGAAAAATAAAAAAAATACGATATTCGCGATACAGAAATAGATTGTGGGTTATGAGTGGAGGAAATGTGTTTTGTAATCGCAGCGCGGCATAGTTCAATGGGCATTACGATTGCTAAGCCACATAATCGCTCCGAATTTGATAAATTTATTAGCTGACATGAAATGGGGCACAATGGCAAAGGGAGAGGCAGAGGGAGCGCGCCAACTGTCGCATATGAAGTTCAAAGATGCTGACAACAATTAAATTAAAGTCACGCCAAGGAAAATCAATAAAAAAAATATATATATATATAGAAGCAACAGCAAATGAAAGAGCAGAGCCTAAGGGAATGAGATTGGGGCAGCGACACGGGGAGCTGCTGTTGCTGCTGCTGG